TTTTAGAATGGGCAATTCGGTGTTTCCCTACTTTTCCCCCCTTCCTCTGTTAAATTCTTTCTACCTGGGCCAAATAAGGAAAAATGTCAACTTTACAGAATTATTGATAAACAGGGAGACAACATATTTCTTCTAATGATACTGAAAAAATGGTCAAATTGTACCAGATATGGAATTCCAGTTCTATTGATATTAATTTCTAGCCAAACAAAACAACAAACAAAATACTGAGATCAAAATAGCAAAACATCATTAAGAATACGATGTAGGATTTGGGGGATGGGTAGGATTACAGGTGATTTTTTAACATTATTCTATATTTTCCAAATTTCTACAACGGTATATTTTTATAAAAGTCATGAAAATATTGATCTGTACTACCTGGGCTACAGCAAAAATTCCAACAAAATTTTTTTTTTGATGGACCTTTGTATCTCTCAGTAATGGACTGAAGGAACAACAAATGTCTGCTGTTGCTAAGGACAATACAGTGAGACCTTCCTATTACCAAGAATTGAAACTCTGCAATATGTTGGTAGTCTTAAAAATAATCAAATCTCAGTATTCTGATTTAGAGATGAAGACTGGAGTTCAGATTTCTAAATCTGAGGGAGACCACTGGAGAAAATGGCTGGTGTAGAGAGAATCTTTCCCATTAATGGAAAAGAATTCACATACATCTTACAACTGACAGCTGAATACTTCAACATTAAAAATCCCACGTAGCACGGAATATTGTTTTCTTGGTCATTGAAGAGGATGTGGCTCCCTGTGTGTCTGAACAGTTCTATAAAGGATGTCTATTTACTGAAGGGAAGCTCCTTACAGCTTAAAGGCATCTGCTGTCTCTGACCTCACTTTGCCAGGGCAGGGAGACACAGGCTCTGAAACAGCAGCCCCTTAAAATCAACAAATAAAGTCTTTACTTGTGTTTAGTCCAAAAGGTCTGCTTATTTATGCCAGTTACCCTCATACAAATACCACCAATCATTTTTAAAAATGAAGTAAAATCATGGATGCCTGTCCCCAAACATTTTTCTCAATGAGAATAAATATAGTAGAGACTGTAAAATACATTTACTTAGAAAGAGGATTATAAATTTTAGGAAAGATCCCAGGATAGGATTTTCCACTGCATTAGAACAGACTGTGCCCTCTCCCCCTGAATCAGCAAGTTTCAAGTTTCCACTGCAAAAAAAACCACTTCAGTACAATACAGGAAAGCCTTTTGGGATGTAATTTCAAGAAGATGAAGAAAGAGGGAAAGGCAAAATATAGTTCTCTTAGCTTCTGTGGGTTACATTTCCTTCAATCCCTGCTCTTCCCCACCCCCCAACCACACACAGCTCTAGATCTCTTTGTATTTTTATTCTGAGTACCTGCTCCAGTTCATAGGCCTTTGCCTTATCCTCATCCCGGTCTGCATTCTTCCGATAGGCCAGGCCCAAACCCCACACAGCCAAGATGCTGTACACGTTATCTCGGACCCAGGCATCTTTCTGATCATAGCTGGCTGGAAGCAAGCCAGTCACTGGATTCTGCAAGGCCAAGAAAAAGAAGACAGGCAGGTAACCATAGGGTGTTAATATTAGGAAACAGTCCACTGAATACGTTTCTTAGAGACTTTGGTCTTTTTTTTTACTTCACTTTTGAGTTTTATAGCCTCCTCTTCTTCTGACCAATTGCAGGCTAATGCTATCTTCCCCACCCCATCCCCTAGTTTTATTGTGGTACAATCAACAAATAAAAATTA